ATAAAAAAATTTAATAAGAGTATTATCGCGTTAAGATATTTATATAATACTATCACATTCCACACATTACACTTGCCACTGTGGATAGTAGGTTACCAGTCACTAGTAAATTCAGTCACTGCAATGTGTGATGCGATATTTAATTACTCTTCTAAGAATATTGACATTTGATATCGTATATGAAATCTTATTAATATATTTGAGGAAACTGTTCTCGAATTATACATATGCTTTTGTGTACTGAGTGATGTATGATGTATCTGTAATCTTTGAAATTTACAATGGAGTATTATCTTTTAAAATGGACAATGCCTTAATAATATAGTATATACTTATGTTTTTAACTACAACATTTTTTAATGTTGTAGCATTAAAGGAGATAGCATAATTCATTCATATTTTAAATGTTACATATTTAATGTTACACTGGGACAAATCAATAAGAAATAGTAAAAAAGTCGAAGAGAATGTAATATACGTGAATGCAAGATATGTGTACAATTTATGTCCTGATGTAACTCAAACTATATTTTTCAACTACTATGGCAGAATCCATTTCGATTATAAGGCAAACAAATTATATACATTTATCCACAGAATGTGCAAAAGTCAGTTTGTGTTCCCGTAAGTTTTAATCTATATTTGCGTAATTTATGTATAATTTTTTTTTCTAATAATTATAAAGTATTGAAGTATAAGTTGAAGTAGTTTTAAAATCATTAACGTAAAACGTAACAGCATTTATCGAACGTAACAGCATTTATCGACCGTACCATAGTAGTTGATAGTCAATGATTTGTTATTAATTATTTGGTGTAATATTCACGAACTTTAAGGTGTTTATGAGTTATTTAAGTTAGAAATAAGTCCATATGTTATATATATTGTAATCAGGTACTACGTTGTTTGTATTGATCGATTATGCGAACGAAATAAAATTCAAAGAAATATAGAGAAAAACTAAATATATAAAATTGGAATAATACAATGCCTGATATATATGCTACGCTTCTTCATTTCGTTAAAAAAAAAACGTGCATACAAATATAGAGAAGAATAAGTCGGCATTATAAATAAAACACGTTTAAGGACTAGTGGCAGATATGCCGAAACTTTGATAGCACGATTTGCACGTGGGTACGGCACGTTGTGACAGATGTCCAGGTAATTTAGTGTGTACTGTCATACATCTTGTGCACAATACATCACCACAGGACCAACAATGATGCTGAAATAAAATAATCACTATAAAGTAAAAATAAAAAGGTTGTTTTAACTTACAAGGTACACTCGTCAATTGTACCTTTTTGTTAAAAGCATCGAATGTAGTAGAGCATCCACATTCTTCTATATTTCGCGACGATTTCCATTCTAAGGCAACTGTCTTTAATTCGTTTTCTAATTGATTCACTTTTAGTTTACCCCTCGTCTTTTCATCGTGATTTGCGGTATTCTCTATTATACTCTCTGACAAAGATTCCTTCGTGAATTTAGTGTCAAATTTATGCTTTCCCTTCTTTTGAGTGTTACTTGTATTTAAAAGTTGCCCCAAAGAATTTACTCGCTGTTGAAGAAAATTAAAATGTAGATATAAACGATAAACATTAATTTTTCGTTAAAATTTAATATCTATTTGTTTGATTAAACTGTGTGATACATACTTTTAATAGAAGCTTTACATGATCTTCTAAGGAACTTGTGTGATCGTAGATCGTCAAAATTAAGTCTTCACACGTTTCTCTAGGATGTATTCCATTTTCAAATCTAAAGTATAAGCCTCTCCAAAGACTGAAAGTAAAATAACACGGTTTACATTCAAGCTGTATTAACAATATTGAATATAAATCGTTGCACAAAAGTTACATGTTTATTACACGATAGATTGAGGTGCCAATTTAGGTTGAAGAATATCCACAGAGTCCTCGTTATTATAACGATTGCATCTGTAGATTGGGTTTATATATTCATTCATATTATTCGCTAAGTAGCCCCACAACGAATATGTTCGTTCGGATAATCTAAAATAATATTTTCACCATAATTTTTTTTTCATTTACATTTATCATGAAGAAAAAGATCGATATAAAGATGTAATACCTTAATACTTGTCTTTCTTTCTCCGAATTTCCGATGAATGTACCGTGTTGACAGCTATGTACATGATCATGTAACGTTAAAAGAAAATATTCATTGAATTGAAATTTATATGGATATTGCTGTAGCAGTTGGTATGTCGCATCTATAAACTGTGTAAATATTGGTGCGAGTTCTTTACCATCGCTACTGACATAGCCACAACGATCACTAAATTTATGACCAAATGATAGCCAATCCTTTTCTATTAAAGCCTGTAAAAAAATTTTTTTTAATCATATGAGAGAAATGGACTATATAATTTAATCGAATAATAATTATAAATGCAGAAATTTGAACAAATTGATATTAAATTATTTACTTGAAAACCTTGGATGGTTCTATAAAATGGATCTAATAGTAATGCAGCCAGAGAGCACACTTGCGCAGTGCGATCCCATCCATCGCTACAATGCACTACTACGCTCACGCCGTTCGAAACTGCCCGTGCAATGAACCAAGCGGTTTCCAGAATAGAGCGAATATGCTTTAACCAACCGCTACTTTCTAGGCCACTTAAGAATGCGCTCATGGAGGTTGATCTTTGTACTAAAAGTTCAAATATAGATGGAAATTTTTAACAATTGTAATGTGGGGAAACTGATGTTTTATACACAAACTCTGTAAAAATGTTATACTTACAGTCCAAAAGCTTATTTAAACTCGTTCTCATTACGTGAATGTTCTCTATCCCGAAAAAATGAAATTTGATATTGTCATAGAAATTTTCATTCTCATATCCTTTCCCTGCAGCTCTGTTAGCAAAGGCATTAATCTAATTGAACAGAATTAAGTTTTGTTTTTAATATCTTGTATCCTTAGAAAACTAGAAAATAATTTATTTTACATATTTATAACATTTGTCATCACTGAAATAATTAAACATCAATTTGTTTTTAAAATCAATTAAATAAAATATTATTATCTCTAAAAAAGCTTAAAATATTTATAACGGTATTTTCTGTTTCCAATTCTAAAGAATGACATATCAAAGAAGATATAAGGTAAAATAAAAGGAATAAAATTAGGTCTGATATTCAATTGAAAAAGGAATTATATTCCAATCATATACTTACCCGCGGCCTTGTATCGACAACATACATATACCGTGAATTAGGATTTGTACATAATATATTATGCATCATTTCTTCATCTTCAGGACATCGTGCACTAAATCCTGAAAGTGGTTGACTGCAGCGGCAAATGGCAGCCTAAAAGTTATTTTATTTGAAAAACTTTTATTTAAATGTTTAGTTTATCATTTTGATCAAACCTTGTTTGAATGCAAGTACGTTAAAACTGGTAGCCTCCCTCTGCTTCTAAACTTTGCACTGCCTAATAAAATGTTTTTAGTAGATGCACTGGGAACATATAAGTACCTAGGGTAAGTATCGCAAAGCTGAAAAAAAAATTGATAGTTTAATTAACGGCGTTGAAAATGCAAAATGATAATATAATGAATATTATTTTACCTCATAATTAGTATTTAAATATGAAAGTGACCACTCCTCGTTGGGAACACCTTGCCGCTGAAATTCACTTTGTACATTGAAGAAATTCCATCCTGCATGCTGAGGTAGCGTGTCTTTATTTTCTTGATAATTGAAGCAATATAAATCTTCTACACTAGCTGTAGTAAAATTAAACCAATAAAAAATTTTAATTTTTTATGTTAGGAATAATTATCTTAGAATATATTCTGTATATATTACATAATGTATAAACATAGCACTTTTCAAAAATTCTTAGAAAACATTTATATGCAAAATATGATACAAATGTAGTAGCTTGTTACCTGGGCAGGATAATTTTAATAATGTGAGATAAATCTCGTGGCAATCGCGTTCCTTTGGGATGACAAATGTGACAATGAAGAAATGTTTGCACTTAATATACAATGGTGATCCTGTGGTCGTCAACGGCTGTTTCTCTATATTAGAAATATGTGTATATAAAACCTGTAATTTAACATTTTATTACTTTCGATACAAACTCAACAATAATTTCTATTAAACTAATATATGACTAATTTACCCATATCTTTTTTTTACCGCTTCTTTCAACAAAGATGAGATGTGTCACTGTTAGGTAGAGTGTGCCGATGGAATGATTATTGCTATATTTGTCTAGCATTCTCACATTCTCTACCTGCAAAATATATATTTCTTTTTGAAGTCTAATATTACAATATATATGCGAATAAAAATAAGACGTTTTTTTTAACATTGCGATTTATTTTTGGTATAACTTAATACAAGAAAATGGAATCAATAAATAAATATGTCTAATATTTCTACCACTGTCAATTCGTTACTAATAAATTATAATACGATAAATATTGAATTAGAAGAGTTGTTCATACCTTGGGAACCTTTATCTGCTCCATTTTCGAAGTTTTAAAAAATTCCACGCAATCAAATAACTTTTATTTAGGCAATTATAATGATTAACACATGCGTGTATGTATCACCCGAGTTTCATGATAGCGGTGGATTAAAAAATAATCATTTATTCTAAGCATACGTGGACACTTGTCAGATATCTAGTTAATAAGCGAGGTTACGTGTATTACTCCCATTCCCTTTGAAAGTGACACTGACAGATCAGTCAGAACTCACAGATGGTGACAGATTGCAATATATGTGCAACAATGCCAGCAGTCAATATATTCCGTGTGGGCACACAATCAAGGTAAATATTTTTTTCAATGAGTTTCAGAACGCAGTCGTGAAAGAAACATCGCTAGAGAGAGAGAGAGAGGAGGGGGAGAGAGAGAGAGAGAGAGAGAGAGAGAGAGAGAGACTGCTACTTTCTCCCAAACTGTGTTTCGAAACCCATCAAAAGACGAGTTAACTCCACAGCGGACTGGACGCATGACGATGTAAATAGCGTGAGCATTTCTTGCTAACGCGTATTCCTTGCTCCGTCCAATGAGAGTTAAAAAAACGTTAAAAAAAGAATCAGCTGTCAAACTTCGTGGAGCTCCGATTGATTCGGGTGAATTTATTGTTACGTCTAATATTATGAAATAAAGTATGTAATATAATTTAAAAGGCGCTTACTATCGCTTGCTATTAAACTGAAGTTGACATGGATCAGGTTAACACGGAAGAGTTGATCTCGAAATTAATTTCCGGCACGTATGAAGAATTCTGTAAAAATATTGTTGTGTTTCTAGAGATTGTAAGTATACATTTTGAAATACTTCTTTATTTACTAAGAAACGTAATATATGTTTTTCTTGTCACAACTCTATGAAGCTTGCAATTTTAGAAAAAATTTTATTTTATTGATTCATTAATCTCAATTTATTTTATCTTAATTTGTTAATTTCATAATTTTATATCCTAAATTAATAAGCAAATCTGTCACCAAGTAATTCTTTAAATTCTAATTCGTTTATTATAAGAGAGTTTATATGTTTAAAAAATTCTCTTATATAGTCTCTTTTCTCTTCTTTTTATACATTTTCCTAGAAACTATTTAAACGATTTACATGTATTATACAACTAATGTTTTAGTATGATAAAAAGACGAATTTTGAAGAGTTGGATAGTACCTGTTTACGAGAGAAACTATGGAAGAGATTATTTTATTATCTAACAGATTACGTTCATGTAGACCAGCATCATCATTGTTTAGCTGCTTTGAGGATACTTAGGTAATTTACTTATGTTATATATATATATATATCTCTGTAATAATTGTAAAAGAATAATATTTCTCAATAATAAAAGATCAATAATAAAATCATTGAAAGTAATTAAATGTAATATAATTATACAAAATCATTAAAGAATAAAAAATTATTTATAATTTTTATTTTTATAATTAATATTCTGATACTACACACACACACACACACACACACACACACACACACACACACACACACACACACACACACACACA